GCTAGTTAACATTAGACTTCTACATCTAGCTACATATTGAATTTCATCCTCTCAGGCCAGGGGCACAGTGCATGACTTTATGGTTGGATCAGAATCGCCATTATAATCATTGGCCAGTATGGAGAATTAAGTAAAACCACAAGTTCAAATCCTTATCTCCATCCATGGCTAATTTAGGAAAGGGCCAATTTTAGCTAGCTAGCTAGCCACCGGAGGACAACAACACAACAAGATGCAACAATTCTGTCAATAATGTTTTGCGCTCGATGTGATTGGTGTGAAGCCAAATCCAAACTGGCTTCCCTTGAGACAGTCTTTTGGTGCACCAGGACCATTCACTGTTGAGCTCACTCAGTTTAGCTCAACGCTGATTGGCTATTATTGTTTTCTTTCTTTTTTTTATCAAGGGAGGCCAAATGCTGGCTGGCATCCCTTGCATTCAATGCTGCGGGCAACAATGTCATCATGCTCTTTTTGACCAGACAGCATCAAATAGATGGGCTACACATGCTAAAACAGAGGGGGGCGCTGTTTCGTTCGCTTGGATGCTTTCTCCGGTGAGATACATTCAGCCTCTTGCGAATTGAAGGAACATTATGAAACACAGAGAGACGAAAGATACATTATTTTATGTTGTTTTCCTTTTTTTCTTGGTAAATATTTTGGGACAGCCTGGCTTCCCTTGGCATCCATGAATTCATGCCACTGTCCCTATATGTTATAGAATGCATTATTTCGTGTCCTCCTCCCATGCAAAACCGTTAAAGCATTCAGACTGACTTGTCTGCTACCAAAGTGGATTCACCCCGGTTCCGCCACTCACCCCGGTTCCGCCACTCTCCCCAGTCCTAAAAACAGAACCAAGCTGTCCTTGAGCTCAGCTGCAACACCTCTACATTCATATTACATCACACATGACCTTGTTGGTAATGCCCATTTCGTAGCTATTCATTAGATGTCAAATGCAATCTGACAACCCCTATTCACCACCAAAGCAAACAAAAATGAAAGCAAAAACGAACACCAACTTTTTTTCAGTCTCTACTACTTTGTTCTTTTTAAACATTTAAAAAGCTCTGTGACATCTAGGGAAAAATATGACATCTAGGGAAAAATATGACATCTAGGGAAAATTATCTCTTCGTCTAAAAGTCACAGGCTGAGTGCTGCACTCAACCATTTCTTAGATTGTCACGCCCTGATCGAGAGAACTCTTGTTGGTTGGGTCAGGGTGTGAGTGTCGTTTGAGATCTATGTTATTAGATTCTATGTTTATGATCTAGTATTTGTATTTCTATGTTTGGCCGTGTGTGGTTCCCAATCAGAGGCAGCTGTCGCTCGTTGTCTCTGATTGGGGATCATACTTAGGCAGCCTGGTTGCCTACCTTAGTTGTGGGATCTTGTTTGTGTTCCTGTTTAGCTTATTGTGTGTATAGCCCATAGGACGTCACGTTTTCGTTGTTTTGTCATTTTGTCAAGTGTTTATTCGTCTTAATAAATATGTACGCATATCACGCTGCACCTTGGTCTGACCCGTCTCTCAACGATCATGACATAGATGCACAACATGTATTAGTGTTTGCCTACCATTCACCCTGAAAGGCCTTGTAGATATGTTTCACATTTTGCACCTTAGCATCTCTTATCACAGGATATGGAACAGACTTCAGTTAATAGACACAGAACACCAAGCACATAATCTATAACACCCTAAACCACTAAAGCACATTGTTACTAACTCCATGAACATTGAATGTGGCCTTACTGCTATTAGCCCATAGAAACACATTGAATAACATACATGGAAAAACAGATATTTAAAAAATACATCAAATCCATCTATCTGCAAATTTAAATGTAGGCCTAACCATACTTCATAAATCATACATCATCAATGATACTATTTAGGCCTGTATAACATTAGAGAAGTCACCAACAGCTAGTGTTTCAATTCAAGCCAGGGTTTAACTAAAAATAGACAATACATACAGTGGCTTGCGAAAGTATTCACCCCCCCTTGCCATTTTTCCTACTTTGTTGCCTTACAACCAGGAATTAAAATTTATTTTTGGGGGGTTTTGTATTATTTGATTTACACAACATGCCTACCACCTTGAAGATGCAAACTATTTTTTCTTATGAAACAAACAAGAAATAAGACCAAAAAGTTGCATAATTTTACAAATTAGTTGATCAAATATTGAATTTGGACTTTACTACAATAGCCCATAGACATGAATTGAATAACACATTAATAAATGGGAAAACAAACAGTCAAAATAAATCATAAGGAAAAGGGTTTTGAAATGTCTTTCCTATATCTAGGAGACATAAGAAAGATCAGGAAATATATATTTGAGGTTTTTGGACAAATATTGAACCCCCTTTTTTTTGTTGCCACAAAAAGATCATTCTTCCATTATAATTATTTTAACCGGTACTGGTTACCTTCAGACGAGTCCCGTGACACTTTTGAGGGTCATTGAATCTCCCCTTTCCATAGTGGGGTGGTATTAGTTTGTAGCCCAAACAGTTCGGACACTACAGACAGAAGTTGGCAGATCGGCTGAACCGACTTCAGACGAGTCCCGTGACGGGTCCCGTGTTCCTGAGAGTCTCATCTTTCCGTAGAGGGGTCATATTATACTGAACAAAAATATAAACGCAACATGCAACAATTTCAAAGATTTTACTGAGTTACAGTTCATATAAGGAAATCAGTCAATTTAAATAAATTGATTAGGCACAGATACCTTAAAGAAAAAGGTAGGGGTGTGTATCAGAAAACCAGTCCGTATCTGGCGTGACTACAATTTGCCTCATGCAGCGCGACACATCTCCTTCGCATAGAGTTGATCAGGCTGCTGATTGTGGCCTGTGGAATGTTGTCCCACTCCTCTTCAATGGCTGTGCGAAGTTGCTGGATATTGGCGGGAACTGGAACACGCTGTCGTACACGTCGATCCAGAGCATCCCAAACATGCACAGTGGGAGACATGTCTGGTGAGTACGCAGGCCATGGAAGAACTGAGACATTTTCAGCTTCCAGGAATTTAGTACAGATCCTTGTGACATGGGGCCGTGCATTATCATGTTGAAACATGAGGTGATGGTGGCGGATGAATGGCACGACAACGGGCCTCAGGATCTCATCACAGTATTTTTGTGCATTCAAATTGCCATCGATAAAATGCAATTGTGTTCGTTGTCCATAGCTTATGCCTGCCCATACCATAACCCCACCGCCACCATGGGGCACTCTGTTCACAACGTTGACATCAGCAAACCGTTCGCCCACACAACGCCATACATGTGGTCTGTGGTTGTGAGGCCGGTTAGACATACTGCCAAATTCTCTAAACGAAGTTGGAGGTGGCTTATTGTAGGGAAATGAACATTCAATTATCTGGCAAGAGCTCTGGTGGACATTCCTGCAGACAGCGTGCCAATTACACACGCCCTCAAAACTTGAGATGTGTGACAAAACTGCACATTTTAGAGTGGCCTTTTATTGTCCCCAGCACAAGGTGCACCTGTGTAATGATCATGCTCTTTAATCAGCTTCTTTATATGCCACACCTGTCAGATATATTGGCAAAGAAGAAATGCTCAGCAACAGAGATGTAAACAAATGTATGCACAAAATTTGAAAGAAATAAGCTTTTTGTGCATAAGGAACATTTCTGGGATCTTTTATTTCAGCTCATGAAACCAACACTTTACATGGTTTATATGTTTACATGTTGGGTTTATATGTTTGTTCAGTGTATGTGTGCAATATAGCCATGCCCATGTTTGATATAGGCACACGTTGCACAACCCAGAGTCACATTAAAAGGCTAAACAAACAGGCCTATAGCCTAAAAAAAGAAACCCCAAACAATTCAATGGCCACGGCAAATGTTGTAGACTAATTAATGACAATGCATCAATTTAAAGGCTCTAAAAAAATACAAAATAGTGTACCACTGTGTCTTAAAAATGTTCTAGTTAGGTTTACAGAGAAAAAGACGTTAAGCGAAACACGTTTTTTGTTCGACTATTTCCGCCGAGTTCGACTATTTCAGCTAAGCTCTTCAGTCCCTCCATTTTGTTGTCTGTTGTGTGTGCTGTTGGCAAGAGAAGTGCAGAAAACTGTTGTTTATAAGGATATTCTAGCAATGGACGGGTATGTATTGGCTATCTATGTGTTTTTCTTGAATGATTCATCATGCGCGGCAAGATTTCGTTGATTAAATTAGAGTAGCTAGCTAACCTCACCCTAGCTAGGTTTTATTTTAGCTAACGGTAGCTAGCTGACGTTACGTTAGCTTGGCTAGCTAGCTAACTCCTGGCTGAGCATTCGAACTGCCAGAGGGCGATTGCAAGTTAGCTTTAGCTAGATAACGCAAAGTATATTTTGTTTTTTTGCAACTGTTCAGAAACTAGCTAATAAATTGACAGGGCAATAATGTTCAGCTAACGTTAGTTAATTAGCTAGCCTTAAGAGAGGATGGCCACTCAAGCGTGACAGGGACGTGTCGTCACTTGTCCAGTGATCATTCATTTTATCCTTTGTTGATCGGAAATGTAGCTAGCTAGGGTAAGCTATCCACTCAAAAAGTAATCAACACCGTTAAGCTACAAAATCCCTGGCTAGCGTGCATTGCCATACAGGTTTCTCCTTTTATATGTGGTCAACGTGTGTAGATGGCTAGTTATGTTGTAACTAATAGTTAACTAGCTATGTGCTGGTAACTAGTAGTTAACTAGCTGGTGGAGAGAGAGAAACGTTTGCTACTGGTGGTTTTCTTTTAGCATGTAGCCACGGCACTAGCCAGCTAGCTAACTTCCTTAGCTACTAGCTAGTTGAACTCCAGATAAGCAAAGCAGCAGCATGCTGCTATAATTGTGGAAAAAATGGGCTTAACGAGCTAGCTAATCATTCTGTTCCGTCTCTTTTTCAGTATTGGAGATGTTGCAGTTGGTGTAAAGGTAAGCCTCAGCCCAATGCCCTCTTTATGGCAAAGGTTAAAGCTAGTTAGATACATGGAAACCACATCTTGAAATTCCCTTTCATTGCTATGGCAATGCAAACCCTTTCTTCTTACCCAGCTGAGTTGTTACATTAATCAGGATGTAGCCTAATGCATCTCACACTGGTTAAGGTTTGCCTCCATCCAGTTTTTAGAACCCTAGGGTACTTTATGGGCTGATACCTAACACAGGACACACAACTCACATTTACAACTCTCACATTTACAACAATTGTTTTAAAAAGCAAGTTGTCCTTTCAAGTCAGGATCTGGGCATACGCCTACTGGTATGAGCACAGAGTCCTAAATGTAGCTTGCTACTGTTGAGAGAGTATGTAGTATCGGGTCAAAAAGGTTTCGGGTCAATTTCTCCCTCTTTCTTTCTCTTTCTCCATCTCTTTTTGTTTTATCTCTTTCTCCAGAGAGGATCAGATGAACTGATATCAAGCAGTGTCTACAACAGTGGTTCTGACAGTATCACTGGTAAGTTCGCTGTTCCTTTGCCAGTCCCCTCTGAATGGTCATTTGATCGTGTTCCAACGGCATTCAAATAAGTCAAAAGGATTAATGAATGTTTGAAGTCGAACGGCTGTATTGGTGAGTGTCTTTCCCCGCGGGAGGTGTTTCGGTATCTGTAGGTGCGACTGAAAGAGAGATGCTGTGCATTTCAATAGGGCTATATCTCTTCAGAACATGGCTGTAATGTCTTGGAGAAACTATAGTAAGGTAGGAGCTGAAGAGAATGTAGCCAGACTCTGGTTGGCTGAGAAAGTTACTGTATTAATGTATTCTGTAGGTCCTTCAAATCTATATCTAGAAAGCCTCAACATACACTGAGTGTACAAAACATTAAGAACACCTGCCCTTTCCATGACATAGACTGACCAGTTGAATCCAGGTGTAAGCTATGATCCATTATTGATGTCACTTGTTAAATCCACTTCAATCAGTGTAGATGAAGGGGACAAGACGGGTTAAATAATACATTTTTGAGACATGGATTGTGTATATGTGCCATTCAGACAGTGAATGGGCAAGACTAAATATTTAGGAGTGCCTTTGAACGGGATATGGTAGTAGGTGCAAGGCGCACCGGTTTGAGTGTGTCAAGAACTCCAACGGTGCTGGGTTTTTCACGCTCACAGTTTCCAGTGTGTATCAAGAATGGTCCATCACCCAAAGGACATCCAGCCAAGTTGACACAACTGTGGGAAGCATTTGAGTCAACATGGGCCAGCATCCCCGTGGAACGCTTTCGACACCTTGTAGAGTCCATGCCCCGATGAATCAAGGCTGTTCTGCGGGCAAAAGAGAGAAGGGGGGGGGTGTTCCTAATGTTTTGTACGCTCAGTGTAAATTGCATTCAGATGCAAAATATAATGTTACACTTATTTTTAAATGTTTGAGAATGAAACACTAACACTGAAGTTCAGTTATGACTTGTTTCCGTCCATCGTAAGAGGATGGACTGTGGTGGTGTTAGTTTCCGTGCTCCTCTCAAGGAAGTGGGTGTTTTGTGCTTTCTGGTGGGCGGCTTTAGAGCAGAGCAGAGCAGGATTGGGATAATAGAAGCTTCTGTCTTTTTTCTATCTAGATGGGACAGCCAATGGGAACGACAGTAAAGCCAATGGGAGCGACAGTAAAAAGCTAAGAGTGGAAGACCGGATGGAAGCTCCTCCCTCTCGTGTGCTGCACATCAGAAAACTGCCCAATGAAACTTCAGAATCGGAGGTCATTGCCCTGGGGTTACCTTTCGGGAAGGTCACCAATATCCTGACGCTTAAGGGGAAAAACCAGGTGAGTGGGCCCAGATAGAGGAACAGGCGACGCGACGGATGTTTTACTCCGCCCCCAAAATCTTTACACAAAAAAAAAATTTGCCCACGAAGGGAGGAATTTTTGTATGCAGGTCAATGAGTGTCGCATTTGGTCAACAAAAAAATGTAATTGCTAATTTTGCTACGTGAGCCTTATTTGTTCTAATTGAAGTTTCGTACTGGTTAGGTTGTTACGAATGCACTGATATAAGTGGATACGTGGGGGATAGTGCGAGAGAGGGTGGATGAGGAGGAGGCTTGGCTTTGAAGCGCTGGCCATCTTGTTATGAAATGCGTTATCTCAATTAGGTCCACAGAGTTATACCTACGGAGGAGTGGCTTCTATGAAGGAACTTTGAATGTCTTAACTTCCGAAAGTTAACGTTGGACTAACAAGCTTGTGTGTGCAGAGTGGCATTAATCACCATGTTTCCTTCATTTATGTCCCACTCCCTGCATATAACGTATTTTATGATACCATTTAGTCACATTTTGCGACCCTTTGACTTGGCTGTGCAAGTTTTTTTAAATGTAGGAGGCTAAAACCATGATTTGGTCAAACGGTAAAGTACATTATCCTCATGATTCCTGTAATGAGTGTCTACCTGCCTGCCCCTGTACCTGTTTCGCTGGTTGTCGAGCGAACCGCTCTTTTCCCGGGGAGAATGAAGTGTTCGGATTGTATAACAAAAATCAAATTGCCTGGAAAACACAGCTATCCTGTTGTCACAGTTGAAGAAAGGAGGTTATCAGCTTTCTGTAGGTATGGATTCTTTTTTTTTCTTCTCCGTGCTCAATAACAGCTATCTTACAGCCAAGATATTTGATATGGCTTTGAGATACGGAGCGAGCGAACTGCGTTTTGGCCATTGCGATTTCCTAGGCCGCATTGAGTGGTAGGCTACAACGGCAATGTTCTTTTGGACATTAAAAAAAATGTTTACTGTTAGGTTAATACATGGCTACTAGCAGTGGGTATTATATTTACAGTTAGCGATCTAGATAATGTGTTTTGAGTTTCTAGTTATTCAGGTGGTGAATTAGCCCCAAAATAAATGAGGCTGTGATATTAGTGCACATAAAGACGTAGGCAAATTCATTCTATTGAACATTCTAAAAAAAACTTTAAAAAAAAACTAACAGTAAAATATAATACAAATATAAAACATTTTATTTTTTGGGGTGCCACCAAATCATTGGCTGGTGCCTCCAACTGGAAAAACCTTAGTGCCACCAGGGGAAAGTATAGTCTGGCGCCTTAGATACAGACATGGTACAGTTTTTTATTTGAATTGAACTGTATCATTTCTGTATCGTAAGACTTCCATAGAATGCCATTAGGTATATAGCCTAACAGAACTCTAAATGCTGTTCTTGTCCATTTTGGTCTTCAGGCTTTCTTGGAGCTGGGGACAGAGGAAGCAGCAATAACCATGGTGAACTACTACTCCACTGTGACACCTCATGTTCGTAACGTCCCCGTATTCATCCAGTACTCCAACCACAAAGAACTCAAAACAGATAGTGGAAACCAGCGGGCCCAGGCGGTCCTGCAGGCGGTGTCGGCGGTCCAGGGGGGAGGTACTCCTACATCAGATCTAACGGAGGCGTCCAGCCCTGTGCTCAGAATAATCATTGACAACATGTTCTACCCAGTCACTCTGGATGTGCTGCAACAGGTACCTTCCTATTCTAATAGGTTTGTCAGGGTCAGAGGGCAGATTTTATAAATGCAATTAAATTTATTATAATTTTTTTGTGGTTGTGCTCCGTTTTGTACAGACATGATCCGAATCAATGGCGCCGTACTGCATGGCCTCCGTTTTGCTATTTGTGATTATTTTGTAGTTTTTTAATTTTTCACGGAATGTATGCGCTATTAATTCTTACAACCGACAATAACTTTTGAACATCAGATTGGCAGTTACTTACCCCAATTCCGGCTTCAACTTCGACTCATGGGGCGCTCTGTAATTCCGACCCAGTTTTCCGGCTACCCAAGAGGAAACGCCGGCGTTAGAGGCAAGGGGGAGGGGATCCTGGTGAGATTAAGGAGAAGGGGAAAACCGTCAATCAGATCATGACTCCGTACTCCTGCTTCCTGTTTACAAGCAGAAACACAAACAGGAAGTACCCGTGACTCGCTCCGTTGAGAGGTGGTCACCAGAATCCGAGGTTATGCTACAGGACTGCTTTGCTAACGCTGGCTGGAATACGTTCAGAGACTCCGCCGATAACATGGACGAGATAACCACCTCCGTCACTGGCTTCATTAGAAAATGCATCGGCGACGTTGTACCCACGGTGAGGGGACGCTGCTTCCCCAATCAAAAGCCCTGGATTAACACCAAGGTTGGCACTAAACTGAAGGACAGGGCTACCGCACAGAGTTATCGTAGATCAGGGTTTCCCAAAGTCGGTCTTTGGACCCCCCATCCTTGGTGCACGTTTTAGTTTTTTGCCCTAGCACAACACAGCTGATTCAAATAAACGACTCATCATCAAGATTTGATTATTTGAATCAGCTGTGTAGTGCGAGGGCAAAAAACTAAACGTGCACCCGGGGGAGGCCTCTGGACCGACTTTGGGAAACCTTGTCGTAGACAACCCTGAGGCTACGGCTGAGGACAGGAAGTCCCGCTATGACCTCCAGATTCATCAAACGAGCAGAAGGACAATAAAGGAATAAGGTGGAGATATACTGCACAGGCTCTGACGCCCGCCGCAGGTGGCAGGGGGCTACAGTCCATTACGGATTACAAAGGAAGACCCAACTGATCTGCCCAATGATGCCTCTCTACCAGACCAACTGAATGCATTTTATGCACGCCACATCATGCCGGGTCTGAGGGCCGTCACAGACCCAGAGGATTGAGTGATCTCACTCTCCGGGGCCGACGTGAGAAAGGCCTTCAATCAGGTCAACACCCCGCCTGGCGTTATTCCAGGGCATGTTTCTCAGAACATGAGCAGAACAGCTGGCGTGCATATTCACTGTCATTTACAACCTCCACCTTGACCCAATCTGTAATCTCCAAATGTTTTAAAGATGGCCGCCATCATTCCTGTCCCCAAGAACTCTTAATGCTTCATGCCGCAATGGCTACCGCCCTGTAGCACTCACTTCTGTAATCATGAAGGGCTTTGAGAAGCTGGTTATGACACACATTAACACCACCATCCCAGACACCCTAGACCCACTCCAATTTGCATACCGCCCCAACAGATCCATAGATGAGGCAATCTCAATTGCTCTCCACACTGCCCTCACCCACCTAGATAAGAGGAATACCTATGTGAGAATGCTGTTCATTGACTACAGCTCAGCGTTCAACGCCATTGTCCCCTCCAAGCTCGACACCAAACTTAGGACTCTGGGTCTGAACACCTCCCCCTTCAACTGGATCCTGGACTTCCTGACGGGCCGACCCCATGTGGTGAGGGTAGCCACGCTGACAGGGGTGTGTGCTTAGTCCCCTCCAGTACTCCCTGTTCACCCACGGCTGCGTGGCCAAGCACGACTCCAACTTCGTGGAGGTTGTATTTTCAATATTTTGTATTGTTATTTTCTTTTTTTTTTAATTGTCAGATCTTCTCAAAGTTTGGCACTGTCATGAAGATAAGCCGTATAGTCTATTCTCTCTGTTTCCACGCGGCAAGCGGTACCTGTGCATCAAGTCTGGCGCTAACAGCCTCTTGAACAGCTTCTATCAACAATCAATAAGACTGATTAATAGCTAACACAATAGTTACACACTATCTTTATTGACCTTTTACTTTTAATTTAATATTTGTCTCTATTCACACCACACACTGTCACTCCAACACACACGCACTCCATCATTTTCTCACTCACACATAATATGCACATACATTTATACTGACTCTACACACCCACTCACATACAAGCTGCTGCTACTCTGTTTATCTTATATCCTGTTGCCTAGTCACCTTACATATCTACCTCCATCACTCCAGTATCCCTGCACATTGTAAATATGGTACAGGAACTGACTGACCCTGTATATACACGGCTCAAAAAAATAAAGGGAACACTTAAACAACACATCCTAGATCTGAATGAATGAAATAATCTTATTAAATACTTTTTTCTTTACATAGTTGAATGTGCTGACAACAAAATCACACACAAAATTATCAATGGAAATCAAATGTATCAACCCATGGAGGTCTGGATTTGGAGTCACCCTCAAAATTAAAGTGGAAAACCACACTACAGGCTGATCCAACGTTGATGTAATGTCCTTAAAACAAGTCAAAATGAGGCTCAGTAGTGTGTGTGTGTGGCCTCCACGTGCCTGTATGACCTCCCTACAACGGCTGGGCATGCTCCTGATGAGGTGGCAGATGGTTTCCTGAGGAATCTCCTCCCAGACCTGGACTAAAGCATCCGCTAACTCCTGGACAGTCTGTGGTGCAACGTGGCGTTGGTGGATGGAGCAAGACATGATGTCCCAGATGTGCTCAATTGGATTCAGGTCTGGGGAACCTGGGCCAGTCCATAGCATCAATGCCTTCCTCTTGCAGGAACTGCTGACACACTCCAGCCACATGAGGTCTAGCATTGTCTTGCATTAGGAGGAACCCAGGGCCAACCGCACCAGCATATGGTCTCACAAGGGGTCTGAGGATCTCATCTCGGTACCTAATGGCAGTCAGGTTACCTCTGGCGAGCACATGGAGGGCTGTGCGGCCCCCCAAAGAAATGATACCCCACACCATGACTGACCCACCGCCAAACCGGTCATGCTGGAGGATGTTGCAGGCAGCAGAACGTTCTCCACGGCGTCTCCAGACTCTGTCACGTCTGTCACGTGCTCAGTGTGAACCTGCTTTCATCTGTGAAGAGTACAGGGCGCCAGTGGCGAATTTGCCAATCTTGGTGTTCTCTGGCAAATGCCAAACGTCCTGCACGGTGTTGGGCTGTAAGCACAACCCCCACCTGTGGACGTCGGGCCCTCATACCACCCTCATGGAGTCTGTTTCTGACCATTTGAGCAGACACATGCACATTTGTGGCCTGCTGGAGGTCATTTTGCAGGGACTCTGACAGTGCTCCTCCTGCTCCTCCTTGCACAAAGGCGGAGGTAACAGTCCTGCTGCTGGGTTGTTGCCCTCCTACGGCCTCCTCCACATCTCCTGATGTACTGGCCTGTCTCCTGATAGCGCCTCCATGCTCTGGACACTACGCTGACAGACACAGCAAACCTTCTTGCCACAGCTCGCATTGATGTGCCATCCTGGATGAGCTGCGCTACCTGAGCCACTTGTGTGGGTTGTAGACTCCGTCTCATGCTACCACTAGAGTGAAAGCACTGCCATCATTCAAAAGTGACCAAAACATCAGCCAGGAAGCATAGGAACTGAGAAGTGGTCTGTGTTCACCACCTGCAAAACCAGTCCTTTATTGGGGGTGTCTTGCTAATTGCCTATAATTTCCACCTGTTGTCTATTCCATTTGCACAACAGCATGTGGAATTTATTGTCAATCAGTGTTGCTTCCTAAGTGGACAGTTTGATTTCACAGAAGTGTGATTTACCTGGAGTTACATTGTGTTGTTTAAGTGTTCCCTTTATTTTTTTGAGCAGTGTAGTAACCTTACCACTATACATATCTACCTCCATCACTCCAGTATCCCTACACATTGTAAATATGTTACTGGAACTGACCCTCTATATAGTAAGTTTACTTACTTTCTCGTGTTCAGGAGTAAATGTCAGTTGGCTTTTCATAGCCGAGCATTCAGAGGTCAAGGACAGCAGGTGCGGTAGAGAGCGCAGCAGGTCCGGAACAAGGTAGCACGTCCGGTGAACAGGTCATGGTTCCATAGCCACAGGCAGAACAGTTGAAACTGGAGCAGCAGCACGACCAGGTGGACTGGGGACAGCAAGGAGTCATCAGGCCAGGTAGTCCTGAGGCATGGTCCTAGGGCTCAGGTCCTCCGGGAGGGGAGGGAGAGAGAGAGAGGGCGAGAGAGATAATTAGAGGGAGCATACTTAAATTCACACAGGACACCGGATAAGACAGGAGAATAACACCATATATAACAGACTGACCCTAGCCCCCCGGCACATAGACTCTTGCAGTATAGATCCTGGAGGCTGAGACGGGGGGGGGGGGGGGGTCAGGGGACACTGTGGCCCCGTCCGACGATACCCCCGGACAGTGCCAACCAGGCAGGATATAACCCCACCCACTTTGCCAAAGCACAGCCCCCACACCACCAGAGGGATATCAACAGACCACCAACCTACTACCCTGAGACAAGGCTGAGTATAGCCCACAAAGATCTCCCACCGCACGAGCCCGAGGGGGCGACAAATTGGACGGGAAGATCACGTCAGTGACTCAACCCACTCAAGTGACGCACCCCTCCTAGGGACGGCATGGAAAGCACCAGTAAGCCAGTGACTCAGCCCCCGTAATAGGGTCAGAGGCAGATAATCCCAGTGGAGAGACGGGAGCCGGCCAGGCAGAGACGATGCTTTGCCGTTCACATAGTTATTGATTATTCCATTGTTGGGTTTTGAGTTTGCAAGAAAGGCGTTTCACTGTACTTGTGCATATGACATTACAACTTGAAACTTGACTACCTCTTCTGCCCTTACCTCATTGCAGAAATTAGGGTGTTTTTTTAAAAGTGGCTTTTAATATTACATCTGATTTGTCAAATATCAGCTACTTCGTGGAGGTTGTATTTTCAATATTTTGTATTGTTATTTTCTGTTTTTTTTATTGTCAGATCTTCTCAAAGTTTGGCACTGTCATGAAGATAATCACATTCACCAAGAACAATCAGTTCCAGGCCCTGCTGCAGTTCAACGACCCACCGACTGCCCAGCAAGCCAAAGTAGTGAGTGGGACTTCTCGTAGCACGTAACAAATTGATAATGAACAGAGTTTTACCATTTTCATTGCACGTTGGCGTATATGTACATTTGTATACTTGCTATTTTGATTGAGTTCTGCGAAGATTTCCAATATACAGTACTTATCATTACACATGGCAAATAGACTCAACTGGAATCGTTCCATTGCTCCTCAGGCCCTGGATGGACAGAACATCTACAACTCGTGCTGTACACTCCGCATCGACTACTCCAAGCTGGTCAACCTGAACGTCAAGTACAACAACGACAAGAGCCGTGACTACACCCGGCCAGAGCTCCCTGCCGGGGACGGACAGCCTGCCATAGACCCCAACATGGCTGCTGCCTTCCAAGGCAAGGACTCCAACTCTCTGCTCGGTAAGATCCCCGGTAGCTCCTCCTCTCTTCTTTGGGGTCAGGAAGTTGGGAGGTGTTGGAAGCTCGACACTGGTTTAGGGGGCGAGCTCTGCTTTTTCCATCTGGTTCTGTGTGGGGTCTATCTCTCTGCTCATGTTTGTTAACATCATCCTTGGCCAGTGTCAGGTGGAATCACTATTTCTGGACCGACTGTACCTGACTGCCAGGGAGAGAACGTTTTGTTTTTTACCTCGCCCGGGTCTCTGGCTGGGCGGAGTTTGCACGTTTTCGACCATTCCGTTGGTCCTAAAGGGAAATCTGTGCCCTCGCTAGCCCAGGGTGAGACTAAATCCTGACCCCTCTGGCGTCTCCAGGTGCCCTGAGCCCGCTGAATGCTGCGGCTGCGGCTGCTGCTGCTGCGGGGAGGGTGGCTCTGTCTGGTCACTCTGGTTCCGGCGGCGTGCTCCTGGTCTCCAACCTCAACGAAGAGGTCAGTAATGATCTACCTACCTACCCACCCACCCCCTCCAGACGTAGGCCAAACACTTCTCACAAACCAACACTCATTTATTTCTCTCTCTCTCTCGCTCAATCGTCCTCTCGCTCACTTTCTCCCTCTTGCTGTTTCTCTCTCTCTCCGTTCTCTCTGTCTCTCTGTCTGTCTCTCTCTGTCTGTCTCTCTCTCCAATCTCTCTCTCTCTCTCTCTCTCTCTCTCTCTCTCTCTCTCTCTCTCTCCTTCTCTCTCTCTCCTCTCTCTCTCCTGTCTCCATCCTCTCTCTCCTTCTCTCTCTGTCTCCAACTCTCTCCCTGCTGTCTCTGTTCACTTCTTCTCTCCTCTCTCTTGCTTTCTGTCTCTCTCCTCTTCTGCCCGTGAATAACTCGCTCTGTCTCTGTCTAAACTCTACTCATCTGTCACCCATCCTCTCCTGTCTGCTGCTTTCTCTGTCTGCGTGTTAATTCCTGTCTAATCTCTCCTCTGTCTGCCGTGTTACCTGCTAATCTTCCTCTGTCTGCCGTGTTAACACTGTCTAATCTCTCCTCTGTCTGCCGTGTTAACACTGTCTAATCTCTCCTCTGTCTGCCGTGTTGATCTGAAACTGGTTAACACTGTCTAATCTCTCCTCTCTCTGGCTCTATGATATCTTGGTCTTGTCTGAATCACTCCTATTCTCTTTTTCCAACTGAAATGTAACTCTGGCTCTCTCCTCTCTTTCTCTATGGAGAGGACCCCATATTTCAGATACTTTGACTTGCGGATACTATTTTGGCCCCACACCCTCTTTTTAACGTGTATGTCTGTGGGGCCAAACATGATCTGTGAGTGTCTACCAGGTGGTTTCATGTCTGTTCTTGCATGTCCATGCTACTAAACTGAGATTTGAGTGATCTTTTGTACTAATTGTCCTCATTTCATACCCGTTTACTAAAGCACAGAATGATCCTGAACTTCGAGCTCTAGCCTACCACATGCCTTTTTTGTTTCTTTTTTTGCTAGTCTGTAGCTCCTGTGGTTATGATTTGACATTGACTGTACCTTTCTATGTTTGTCAAAGGGATGATTACATTTGGCACAATTGATTTGCTTGTTTAGTTCTGACTAAGTACATGAACCAGTCATAGTCTGACCAAACTCCTGCATCATTTCCAGTGTACTGACCTGTATTTTAATTTTTGTCCCCCTCCCTCACTGTTTTTTTTTTTTTTACATTTGCATTTGCCCTCCCTTCCTCCCTCCCCACCTACCTACCCTTCATCCTTCCCTTCCCCCTCTCTCTCTCTCGCTCTCTTCCCCCCATCTTTTCCCTTTGCTTCATCCCCCCCCTCCCCCCCTCTCTCTCTCTCTCTCTCCCCCATCTTTTCCCTTTGCTTCATCGCTCCCCCTCTCTCTCTACCCCATCTTTCCCCTTTGCTTCATCCCTCCCCTCTCTCTCGCTCTCTCCCCCCCAATCTTTTCCCTTTTTGCTTCATCCCTCCCTCCCTATAACCCCCTCTTCATGCTTGGTGCTTGAACAAAACCTGTTCCCTTGGACCAACCTTATCCCCAAATTAACTGCCTTGAACCATACTCCATGACCACCACCCACCATTCTACGGGAAACCACCCTCCTCCGTTATGGATGATCTGTCCATCTCCGCTCCGCTCTCTACCTCCGCTCCGACTCTTCTACCTGTCTACCTGTCTTCTGCTGCTTTGCTCTTCTCTCCTTCTAAAGATGGTTACGCCCCAAAGTCTGTTTACCCTCTTCGGTATGTTGTTAGCGGCTCTCGCTCTCTTCTTCTGTCGGTTATTTCAGTTCTAAAGAGACATTCACTTTTATTTTGTTCATTTCCATATGCAGTAATTGTTTTGGCTTGTAGTTATCGTTTTTTTGCTCATCTGTTACATTGGTTTGGTTCTCTCAATCTCTCTCTTTTGGCTATCGAAATTGATCCATCCATAGATTTGTGGTAATGCATGGTACATTGTTTTGGCATAGCCTATACAGTAGTTTAATTATCCAAACATGTTGTTAACGTATCTGTTTATGGGGTGTCTCAGTCTGTCCTTTATACACACCTCTCGTCAACTCTCTTCAAATGTTTATTCTGATGAATGATCTCTAGCCTACTTTGACTCGGTCTCTATCTAGCCTCTTCCTCTTCCTCTTCCTCTGTCTCTGCCTTGCCTAAACGTTCCCTCTATCTCCAGTGCTAAAGTGTTTCCTCACTGTCTCCTCCTCTTCCTCCTCGCCCTCCTCTCGTCTGCTCATGACTTTAACCCAGGGGTGTATGGTGATGCCCAGAGGGTGAAGATCCTCTACAATAAGAAAGACAGTGCTCTGATACAGATGGCTGATGCCAACCAAGCCCAGCTAGGTAAGACCACGCCCAGCTAGGTAAGACCACGCCCAGCTAGGGATGACCGCGACCAGCTAGGGATGACCGCGCCCAGCTAGGGATGACCGCGCCCAGCTAGGGATGACCGCGCCCAGCTAGGGATGACCACGCCCAGCTAGGGATGACCGCGGGATGACCGCGCCCAGCTAGGGATGACCGCGGGATGACCGCGCCCAGCTAGGGATGACCACGCCCAGCTAGGGATGACCACGCCCAGCTAGGGATGACCACGCCCAGCTAGGTAACATGCGTCGCCGCCTCCATTGTCTCATGTCCTTTTTACCAGTCAGTAAACATCTCCCCAGACTTATTTAGTAACTACTTGCTTGATTATTCCATTATTTTGAAGTAGATTGTCTCCTAAATGCACTAGACTGGAATGGAGGGGGAAATGTCTTGGGACGCCGTACTGCTGTATTTAAAAACTCACTTAGTACAAATGAAATGCTTCCAGCTATGAGTCACCTGAACGGGCAGAAGATGTATGGGAAGGTGATCAGGGTGGCTCTGTCCAAGCACACCTCAGTGCAGCTGCCCAGGGATGGACTGGATGACCAGGGCCTCACCAAGGACTTCACCAACTCTCCCCTGCACCGCTTCAAGAAACCCGGCTCCAAGAACTTTCAGAACATCTTCCCTCCCACCACCACCCTCCACCTCTCCAACATCCCGTAAGTCTACTGCATGGCCCCTACGCCACACACTGATCTAAGAACACTTATGTATTAGCTCATAATGGTTATTGTTAGGATTTGGACATGGTAAGCAGATCCTGTGTCTGTTGGTGCATTCCCCTGGACAGTGATATTTAAGGACAGTTTTGCGCTTTGTCACTTAACGGTTAGGATTTTTTTTGGGGGGGTGGGTAATCTGAGGCAACGTCTATACCTGGAAGGAAAGTAAAGGGAACCTTAAAGTCTGGGTTGGCTGTGTCCTTGGAAAGCTAAATTCATGTGTTTCCACAGAACGGACGTAACCGAAGAAGACCTCCGACTGCTGTTCTCCAACGCCGGGGGAACTGTGAACGCATTCAAGTTCTTCCAGTACGTCTGGTTCTCCTTAACACATATAATAACGTCACTGAACTACAGTTGCTCTTCAGTTGGTTGTGAATGAACTTGAGAATTGATTCAGACTTTCCTTAGCGCTGTTGCTAGCTCCAGGGGTGATAGACTTGTTGACCTTGTGCTCCTCTCATAGATGGGCATGTTTGTCCATTCTGTGGAGTGGTTGAGAGCAGAACAGAATATACAGTACATTCTGATGGAACAGTTGGACAAATAAAGTTGTATTGCAATGTCTTCAACCATCTTCTCTTCCTAGGGATCACAAAATGGCGCTGCTCCAGATGTCGACGGTGGAAGAGGCCATCCAGGGTCTGATCGACCTCCACAACTACAACATGGGAGACAACCATCACCTGAGAGTCTCCTTCTCCAAATCCACCATCTAAACTTGCGTAATGATCGATCCTCCACAACATCCACTGCTTTCTGTTTCCCTAACAGCTTTTGGCTGGCGTTTTGTTAACCCTGTTGACTCGTTACAGACTCTGGGGGACCACATTTTGACCTTTGACCTCATTCTTTTTTTTTTTTATCAGTCATTCCTTCAGAGAGAACCAGAAACTGAAATCGGGGGAAGAAATCAGGGGGAAAAAATAGTTGTACTTTGATGTTTTGAGGATATTTTAACCCCTTCACATGATCCTGACCCCTGTGTTAATCCCATATCCCCTTCACCTGATCCTGACCCCTGTGTTAATCCCATATCCCCTTCACCTGATCCTGACCCCTGTGTTAATCCCATATCCCCCTGATCCCCCTGATCCCCTTGTTAATCCCATATCCCCCGATCCTGACCCCTGTGTTAATCCCATATCCCCTTCACCTGATCCTGACCCCTGTGTTAATCCCATATCCCCTGATCCTGACCCCTGTGTTAATCCCATAACCCCTGACCCCTGTGTTAATCCCATAACTCCTGACCCCTGTGTTAATCCCATACCCCATTTTGTATGATCAGCAAACTGTTTTCTACCTTCTCATAATGAAGGATGGATGAATGGACATGGGCGTCTCTTCTGATTATGATTAGTTCTACAAGATATGTGCCTTACCTGACTATCAACTATTTTTACATCCAAATATTGACATGAAATCCCTGTCTGATTTTGAGGCACATTAATTTTGATGTGAACTGTGTTAACATGATTTTTCTCTTCTCCCGACTGGTAGTTTCTGCCACCCGAGTTTCGCCTTTTCAGTTGCTGTTCAATTTGTGCAGGTTTTTATTTTCTCTTTCGTAAAAAGTCACTGTGGTTGTTGTGGAGTGGGGAATAATATGAGATTGAAGTTGAATCAGTGTTGTTTTTTTTGTTTTGTTTTTATAGCTAACTTGCTTGAAGGTTTCTTGTAGACGGACAACCATCAAATACCGCTTTAACCCTAGTTTCAATCTGTATGATCATTTTAATGTTATTTTCCCCTTTTTTTTTTTTTTTTTTTTAGTTTACACATTTACTAAAATAGTCTTAATGTTGCTATTCTTTATAGGTTGTTTTACTTTCCTAATTTTTCATTGTCACTTATTAATGTACATGGGTGATGGTGAGTAGGTTTTCTAACCTTCTACTGCCTGCTCTCTGGCTCTTGTGTAATACTTTACTAATTTGAACTGCACTTAACTGTCTCCAATATTGTCATACACACGACAAAGCAAATGTCGTGACGGTGTTATGACTGTCTGTGACGTACAGTTCAAATAAAAGTGTTACCAAAACTCTGCTGTTGCATTGGAGAAGAGGCTTAAGGAGTGTAGAACCTGTCGTGATGTCAACCTGTTGCAGTTTTGAAGAGGGACAACCCTGGTTAGGACCAAAGTTTGTGCCTTTTTTAGTCTTTAATTTACAGTTGCATCGCCAAGGAAAGGAACAACATTTGAATGAACCTCTGATTATATTTTGTATATTTGAAGAAGAAAAAATAACGTAATATACAGGACCTGATTCAGAATCAACGACATGAATTCCTTTATACGTTTATTTTAAGCAGACCTACATGTAATAATACCCACTATGTTTTATAGAGTCCCACAACCTCAACTTGCTGGATAAATGTATCTGTTTTTCAAGAGAAAAGTCGTGTATATTTTCTATGTTAGTTTAATTTTTACATCTCTGGAAATGTAAGATTCAGATATAGTTTGGAAGCGGCACAATTAAAATAATTTTCTAACAAAGTCGGGATATTTGGTCGGACTTGGTTGTGTTTTGAGATTTTCTCTCCCACTTTCTGTGTTGTATTCTGCTTTTCCTCTGTAGCTCAATAAACTTCTGTATTCATTCTGTCTTCTGTCTCTCTCCTCAACCTTTCTATCCAGTCTCAAGGACTGTGCTTCTCTATTCCATCTTATTTTCAAACATATTTTTATTAGCTTCAAATAGGACAATTAACAGTTGCAGAAATACAATTGTCTTGTCCCACTCCCAACTCAAAAACATATCTACATCAGCAAACATTAAGAACAGATAAACAGAAAAAAACTCATTTCCAATAAATCCCAAAATATGCAGTCACACATAATTAGTTAAATAAAGTCCACCTGTGTGCAATCTGTCTCCTGTAGCTCAGTTGGTAGAGCATGGCACTTGCAACGCCAGGGTTGTGGGTTCGATTCCCACGGGGGGCCAGTATGAAAAATGTATGCACTCACTAACCGTAAGTCGCTCTGGATAAGAGCGTCTGCTAAATGACTAAAATGTAAACGATCTCAGTATATATACACCTGTTCTGAAAGGCCCCAGAGTCTGCAACACCACTAAGCAAGGGGCACCATAAAGAACAAGGAGATCTCCAAACAAGTCAGGGACAAAGTTGTGGAGAAGTACAGATCAGGGTTGGGATATAAAAAAATATCTGAAACTTTGAACATCCCACGGAGCACCATTAAATCCATTATTAAAAAAGGAAAGAATATGGCACCACAACAAACCTGCCAAGAGTGGGCCACCCACCAAAAGGTCATTTTTCAGGGCATTAATCAGTGAGGCAACAAAGAGACCAAAGATAACCCTGAAGGAGCTGCAAAGCTCCACAGCGGAGATTGGAGTATCTCTCCATAGGACCACTTTAAGCCGTACACTCCACAGAGCTGGGCTTTACGGAAGAGTGGCCAGAAAAAAGCCATTGCTCAAATAAAAAAATAAGCGAACACATTTGGTGTTCGCATGTGGGAGACTCCCCAAACATATGGAAGAAGGTACTCTGTTCAGATGAGACTAAAATTTAGCTTTTTTGCCATCAAGGAAAACGCTATGTCTGGCGCAAACCCAACACCTCTCATCACCCCGAGAACACCATCCCAGTGAAGCATTGTGGTGGCAGCATCATGCTGTGGGGATGCTTTTCATCGGCAGGGACTGGGAAACTGGTCAGAATTGAAGGAATGATGGATGGCGCTAAATACAGGGAAATTCTTGAGGGAAACCTGTTTCAGTCTTCCAGAGATTTGAGACTGGGACGGAGGTTCACCTTCCAGCAGGACATGACCCTAAGCATACTGCTAAAGCAACACTCGAGTGGTTTAAGGGGAAACATTTGAATGTCTTGGAATGGCCTAGTCAAAGCCCAGACCTCAATCGTTTTAGTCATTTAGCAGACGCTCAATCCAATTGAGAATCTGTGGTATGACTTAAAGATTGCTGTACACCAGCGGAACCCATCCAACTTGAAGGAGCTGGAGCAGTTTTGCCTTGAAGAATGGTCAAAAATCCCACTGACTAGATGTGCCAAGCTTATAGAGACATACCCCAAGAGACTTGCAGCTGTAATTGCTGTAAAAGGTGGCTCTACAAAGTATTGACTTTGGGGGAGTGAATAGTTATGCACGCTCAAGTATTTTAAAAATTTTTTAAAATCTTATTTCTTGTTTGTTTCACAAAACATATTTTGCATCTTCAAAGTGGTAGGCACGTTGTGTACATCAAATGATACAAACCCCCCAAAAATCAATTTTAGTTCCAGGTTGTAAGGCAACAAAATAGGAAAAATGCAAGCCACTGTATGTCTATATTATGTTTTACATAGTTTTTTATTCGGATCCCCATTGGCTCTTCCTGGGGTCCACACAGAACATGACATAATACAGAACAATAACAGACCAGAACATCTCAAGGTCTTAACTCCTGGACTGTAGGTATTCTGATGTCGGTTCTGTTCTGCCCCAGGTCGGGTAAGGGAAGGCACTAAAACTAGGGCTGTTATGGTGAACGTATTACCCGAGTCATGACCGCAGCCAAATTCCACCTGACCGTTTAGTCACGGTAACTAGGCTTCTCCAGGCTCTGATGCTGCTAAATGGTCATTAGCAGCCTACCAAACTTGCTAACTGCCTGGTACTCAGCACTCTATTGTCCCTCTAATCACTCTGACGTCAATGCAAATGTTATCAAAAATCGAATCAAACACTTAATGAGAGCCCATGAGCTCATGTTGTTGTCAACATTTCTATAGGCTATGCAATTGCGTAAGAAAACAGTTTTGATGGCCTCTATTCAAAAGAAGGATCCCATCAGCTTTCTATAGGCTAGGCCTACTATATTTATTTCTCAACATTCTTAATATTAAGCACATTGCTAATCTTTACAACAGGAGTATATCCTGTGTGTGAAGCCCATTAATTCGCTTTACAACCGGTGTAGAGCCTAACTGGCATACATAGGCGGCACGTGAGTTTCAAGAAGATAATTTTCACCATAAAAAATGCACTTTTATAAAAAAAGTGGACGACATGGTTCCAGTAATGCCTGGCGAAAACCAAACTGCATTCCACAGTAAGAACATCAGACCAAAGGTCAAGCAAGGTGGTGGTGGTGTGATGGTTTGGGGATGCTTTGCTGCCTCAGGACCTGGACGACTTGCCTTAATAGAAGGAACCATGAATTCTGCTCTGTATCAGAGAATTCTACAGGAGAATGTCAGGCCATCCATCTGTGAGCTGAAGCTGAAGCGCAGCTGGGTCATGCAGCAAGACAATGATCCAAAATACACAATCAAGTCTACATGAAAATTGCTAAAAAGCAACAAATTGGAAGTTTCGGAATGGCCTAGTCAAAGTCCAGACCTAATCCCAATTGAGATGTTGTGGCAGGACTTGAAACGAGCAGTTCATGCTTGAAAACCCACACGTCACTGAGTTAAAGCAGTTCTGCATGGAAGAGTGGGCCAAAATTCCTCCACAGCGACGTGAGAGACTGATCAACAACTACAGGAAGCATTTGGTTGGAGTCATTGCAGCTAAAGGTGGCACAACCAGTTATTGAGTGTAAGGGGGCAATTACTTTTGCACACAGGGGAATTGGGTGTTGCATAACTTTGTTTATGAAATAAATGAAATAAATATGTAATTGTTGTGTTATTTGTTCACTTATGTTCCCTTTATCTAATATTAGGTTTTGGTTGAAGATCTGATAACATTCAGTATCACAAATATGCAAAAGTAGAGAAAATTAGAAAGGGGGCAATTACTTTTTCATAGTACTGTAAATATTCAGACCCTTTGCTATGAGACTCGAAATTGAGCTCAGGTGCATCCTGTTTTCATTGATCATCCTTGAGACGTTTCTACAGCTTGATTGGTGTCCACCCGTGGTAAATTCAATTGATTGGACATGTTTTGGAAAGGCACACACCTGTCTATATATCACCCGATCTAACATCTCTGGAGAGACCTGAAAATAGCTGTGCAGCAACGCTCCCCATCCAACCTGACAGAGCTTGAGAGGATCTGCAGAGATAAATGGAAGAAACTCCCCAAATACAGGTGTGCCAAGCTTGTATTGTCATACCCAAGAAGACTTGAGGCTGTAATCGCTGCCAAAGGTGCTTCAACAAAGTACTGAGTAAAGGGTCTGAATACTTATGTAAATGTGATATATATATTTTTTTTAATGAATGTGCAAAAATGTCTAAAAACCTGTTTTTGCTTTGTCATTATGGGGTATTGTGTGTAGATTGATGAGGGAGGGAAAAAACGATTTTATCCCTTTTAGAATAAGGCTGTAACGTAACAAAATGTGGAAAAAGTCAAGGGGTCTGAATACTTTCCGAATGCACTGTAGCCCAATGTTTGTATCACAACTGAAGTTGTATAAATAACTCTAAACTATGCATATAGGAGGACCTGTTTCTTTGTTAACCGCTCAACACAGAATAGCCGCATGTGCGCACTCCCTCAAATCGTTTGGAGAAAATATCCTTTCTGTTTTATTCAGCTTTGTTCAATTGTATTCTTCATACTATAAAATAATGCCACGGAATTCTAAGCAAATCTTGGCTGCTAAATGAACTAGTGTAGCCCACAGCCATATGGCATAGCCAGATCAGGGCCTAACATAAGGACAACTCAGAGTATGCTATTCTGTTCTTTCTGAATAGACTACATTTTCTTCATAAACATGTTTCTTTAGACCTGTCTAAAATAAATAATGGATTTATTGTGATGGTGTAGGCTATATTACATGGATTTATTATACTTGTTTAAATGTAGATGTTCCAAAGGTCAGCATCAGTGGCTTGTAGGCTATGGGTGGAAGCCAGGAGATGCTAAAGGTGTTTATGTTAATTGCGGTCAATTGCCGTGAGACCGGCAGTTATTTGCTTAACAATCACCGGCTGACAAAATTTCATGACCGCCACAGCCCTAACCAAAACTAATTGGGATTCTAAAGCAAAAATAAGCCTAATTCAATTGTTTCTAATTTGAACAAAATAATGAACAATTTGAAGTTTTCATAATGATTTTCCCACCCTGTTAAAATCTTGCTTCTGACATTCTACCCTCTCTGGTTTTGAACATGTTCTGTCTCTTCCACCTCTTCCTGTAGATGTATAATCTACTATCCAGTCTAAACTCTCTCTCTACGCTCTACGCTCTCTTCAAATCCATCTATACTCTGTAGGGGCATCTGTCACACAATGCTTATAACAGCAAACAAGTTATTTGTGTATCCCACCATTTCAATGCAAACATTGGTATGTAAACGTTCATCTCCAACTAACATACAGTGCATTCGGAAAGTATTCAGACCCCTTGACTTTTTCTTCATTTTGTTACGTTACAGTGTTATTCTAAAATTGTTTAAATATTTTTTCCCCTCATCAATCTACACACAATACCCCATAATGACAAAGCGAAAACAGGTTTTTAGAAATGTTTGCAAATGTATATATATATACTGCTCAAAAAAATAAAGGGAACACTTAAACAACACAATGTAACTCCAAGTCAATCACACTTCTGTGAAATCAAACTGTCCACTTAGGAAGCAACACTGATTGACAATAAATGTCACATGCTGTTGTGCAAATGGAATAGACAACAGGTGGAAATTATAGGCAATTAGCAA